GTTCATTATTTAAACCCTGTTTTCATCTCTAAAAGTTCTCCACTGCCTTAATTGAACTCACATTCTTTGAGTCCTGTCACTGGATCTAACCAACGACTTTATCACTTTGCCATATGTCCTTTATAACATCCGTGTATGAATTTCTGGGTATTATAAACCTAATGTCTTCAGCAACCATTTTTACTAGTGTTCATATTGCAATTTTTTGCTGTTATCATTGCATGTTTCTTACCAGAGCTCATATTGCAACTTTTCTCTTAAAAATAATTTTAAAATAATTTAGTAGACGATGATATTATTATTTATGATAACTGACATTTTGTCACACTATTTCTCTTATATTAATTTCTGTAATTGATTCTTGCACGATGGATTCATGTCCTTCATTTATACCAAATTCTTTTTCAGCATTCTCGGGAAAGCGAGTAATTTGCTTTCCCAATTTGCATACCCGTTCATTATTTACATTATTCGGACTATTGTCCTCATCTTTACAACGTTTCGGCCTTCTTCAGGTGTTTGGAATGTCGAACTTAACTGGGATAGACTGTTCTACCTGCCATGTTTACTGGATGTCAGTTAGCAGTTATATCCTCTTAATTTTCCCTCCACGGCCTATTGAACTCACACCCTTTGTTTCCTGTCACGGGATCTAACCAACGCTTTTATCCACTGTGCCATATGTCTTTCAGGACATCTGTGTATGAATTTCTGGGTATTATAAACCTAATGTCTTCAGCAACCATTTTCTACCAGTGCTCATACCCGTTGTTCATAACAATTTGCCTCTTTTGAATGATCGAAATCAAAACATTCATTTTAAAAAATCTAGTCAACCATTTACATGCCATGCGTGATACACGCTTAGTTGATCATGTATCTTTCGATATATGAATGACGAGGCAGATTTTTTCCGCAATAGGTTGCCTTTTCTTTCTGTGCTGGACCAGTTGCCACCCAAGGCTATAGAACCCGTTCTGTCCTGCTATGTACCCATAGCTGGGGGGGGGCGTGAGATTCATACCTTTCCCAAGGATATTAGCACGTAAGTGAATGTGCTGGATACGACTAGAATAGGTACTCGGCTCTCCGATTCCCTATTACATGTTGATATCCACTACTCTATCGTGCCTCTGGTAATGTTCTTAAATAGCTTTATATTGCACCAAAGATTTCTAGAAATATCTAAACTATCAAATGTATGCCACTGCCTTCTAAGATCAGTGCTTAAAATAATCTTGAGCGCATGAAGCTTGTGGATTGGCGAAGTATATCCTTCTTAATATCTTTTTGTCTGGCGCTACAGAATCACAAAGAACTATATCAAAATAAGAGAAAATGCATTATTGAAGATATTCAACAACGTCAATAATGAAAACGCATATCACATATACCTCAAAGAAAAAGTTAATGATAATATCAAGAGATTTATTTCATTATCTCTTCTTTTAAGTCCTCGACGTAGAATAAATGAGTACTGAATGGTTTGATTGATTTTTTACGGATTACCAGCACTTTGGGTGTTATTTATAGGTAAAAAATATTCTGAATTATAATGAAGATCTTTTTCTGCGATTAAATATTGTATTAACAAATGATTTTGAGAATAGCATTAATTTTCACAATAGAGTACCTACTATTAATCTACAGATGGAGGGGTGTGATGGATTCATATGTTCTTCAAATTAATTTTCGCGTATTTTTTTAATATTTCCTTTAAACTCTGTGTAGTGCGATTATCAGTCCGCTTTCTCGACAGATCCCAATAAAGAAACTATTCTCTTTGGCAGGAATCGAAAATGCGCTCCCCCACTTGGATTGTGTGTACACAACACACGTATAGATATGGAAAGAGATACAGACATATATATTTTCATATAATATGGTTTAAAATAATCCCCACAGTCGAAAGTGGAACAATCTTCACGTTTGTTTAAAATTAGAATGCCGAGTTCCACCTCAGTCTGTTGCGTTTACTTTCTCACATATTCTCTTGGGAAAAGACAGGAACCCAGGCATTCTCTTCCCGGTTATAGACTAAATAGTTACTTTTTGTGCAGTCTTGAGTATTGACTGTCAAAAAATCCAGAAGTATGAAAAATCCGAATTAAAAATTGTGAATTAGGCAACAAGAAACCACTCCATTATCCTTCCTGATATATTACAGCATTTCACAGAAAATAAAATAACGGATTCTTTGGATAGCCACGGACGCCTGCACCCCGGAGAACCATGACATTAAATGAACCGGGCAGTTTTTACACAATATCTGGGATACGTACCCAAATAGATATAATCACAGTGGATTAAGGAATCAACATTCCATGGTGATTTTTACTTTCTAGCTATAAAAAAGATTAAGTAGTTGATACGATACAAAGAAGAATATGCAATGTCATTGGTCCTGACCAGGCACCTCGGCTTCATTTACTTCCCCACTGATGTAACATAGCTTCCATATGCCGCTTCTATAAATATTTTCATGGTAATTGTTCTGGTGAGATTTCCTCTTTGTTAGGTATATTTTACGAATTTAAAGGCACTATTAGAATGGATAACGTCTCGGATTGAGGAATTGGAAAGCCTAGTTCGAATTCCAGTCGAATCCAATACATTGACGTACGTTCTAATATACTTGGGAAGAGTATGAATATTCTTCTTCACCCCCCCCACCAGCAATGGGTAAATAGCAAGAAAGACCGGGTCCTGTAGCTTCGGATGGCAACTGGTCTACCGCATAAATAAATGGCAACCTACTGCGGGAAAAATCTGCCTCGCCAGTTATATATCGAAAGATATATGATCGCCTAAGCGTGTATCATACATGGCATATAACTGACTTTGGAGCACGGTGGAGTAATGGGTAGGAATCAGAGAAACGAGTTCGCATTTCAGTTGAATCCATAACATTCACTTACGTAGAAATATCCTTGTAAAAAGTAATAATCCTCTTCTTCCCTCGCTACCCAACTACGGATAAATAGCAGGACAGACCGTGTCGTATAGCCTTGGATGTCAACTGGTCTACCGCAGAAAGAAATGGCAACCTACTGCGGGAAAAATACTGCCTCGTCGGTCATGTATCGAAAGATACCTGATCGCCAAAGCGTGTATCACACATGGCACATAACTGACTGACTTGATTGTCGACAAGGTCAAATAATTTTACAGTTAAAATTTCTAGACGTCACCTTAAGTTCTATGCAAATAGCTATTTCTCTCGCAATTCTTGCTTGTCTAACTCTTTCCCGGCTTCTTGCTTTCCAGACAATTTTGATCTTTAAAAATGTAAATGTCGTGCCAATTCTTACTTTCTGTGTATATTTCAAAATCTGAATATAAAAGAATACAGACGATTAGAAACATAAGACTTGAAAGATATATATACAGTTAGCCATAAAATTCGTGTTTACTAGCATGATTCTAACAATAATTATAATCAGTTATCGAGGCAAAGCTAAAAATTCAAAAACAGAATTACAGTTAGACAAACAAGATGAAAGAGAAAATAAAATACAGAAAGCAGAGTCAAAAAAATTCCAAACAAAAATACTTGATGACATATTCCTGGTTTAAAGCAGAAACAGGGACTGGTGTTTTTGGTATGTATTTAAAGTTTAGGAATTTAAAAAAAATCTGCTATGTTATATGCCCTAACATGGCATCTCGAATTCCATCATTTTCTTGCCTCCATAACTTAGCTTCAGGGTGCTTTTTCTATAAAATTTTCATCGTAATTGTTCTGCTGAATTTTCCTCATTGGTATCTAAACATTATGAATTTACGTATTTCTTGACTGGAGTCAGGGTTTCATCAAAATTAATAGAAAGATTTAACCATAAGTTATATGCTAAGAAATTATTTCTCTCGCTTTTCTTTGTTAAAATCTCTTCTGACTTCTTGCTTTCCAGTCAACTTTGATATTTAAGAAACTTAAATACAATAACATTCAATGTCTTCTGTCTTCTTAATAGCTGTTCTTTTACTGCCCTCTCACATTAATTTTTTTTTTTTCATATTCTTTCACGCATATTAACCCTTTGTGTCTTAGCAGGTTTTTGGCTTTCTTTGGAATGGAATGTTTGAAAAAAGTCTGAAGTTTGATACGGGAAACAGGTATTCACCATTGATTTATACGTCCGACGTTAACGATCTTTTCAATCCTTAAACGCAATATTTACGCCATGACAATAGCGTTCAGATATTAAACTCACTATCAGCATACGGTGTTGATCCCTGTGTCCATTTTATATTGATCACTTTAACGCATAAATATTACATACTTTAAAAGATACTTTATATACATATATAGGCCACAATGCGCATCTCAGCGTGATGTAATGGTTAGCCAGCTTGTCTTGCTAAAACTATAACTGCATAGTGAGTTCAATCCACACTGAGTGTCCTCAATACTTTTGGCCTTGTGCCACATCTAAGCTACGCTTAGAATATCAAGGGCACATAGTGGTGGTGTAATGGTTAGTAAGCTTGTCTCGCTAGATTAATTACTACTGACTAGTGAGTTCGAATCTCGCTGAGTACCCCCTACTTTCGGACTTGTGCCACATCTAAGCTATGCTTAGAAAATCACTATATAGGCAGCAGGAATTATTTTAAATTGTTGTTTTATTATAACATCGACCAGATGTGTGTATCCAATTTTAAATATTTTTTTCTAATTTCCAAATTATTTGTTTAATACAGGTTGTTGCACCAAAATCCGACCCTTTAGAAAAAAGAAAACGAAATAGGCAATAAAAACAAAAGTTGTATATGCAGAGACCAGACAGTTTGACAACTAACTAACGTTTTTCTCTCTACCCTTTTCCAGGATGGAATATGAACGCCGAGGAGAGGTAGTAGCTTCTTTTCGCGTCGGGTAGAAGCATGCGAAAGTGATGGCCTGGTTTGGGTTCGAGAGGACCATAGTCATGAACATTTGGAGGAAGTGGACGCAGTGTAAGAATAAGGGCGAGTTTACTGCCAAACGAAAGGCTTACCACGTTCGTTCTTCGGCCGTTAGGACCGACGATTTCGTCGCCGCCGTCAAGGAGACAGTGAGACAAAAATGGAAGCCAGAGTTACGCCAAAATCGCCGCTGATATTGGCTGTCACAAGTCGACGATCTGCCGAACGATCAAGAAGGACATTGGTTACTCCTTTTACCGCAAGTCACACCGCATGGTCATCACGAATGGCTCCAAGGAGTCGAGGAAGATCAAGGCGGTGACTTTGCTGAACGAGTTCAAGCACGGGTCCGCCGTGGTGCTGAGGTTCTTCTCTGAGGAAAAGAATTTCATCCAGGACCAGACAAGCAACAGGCAGAACGACAGGTGGATCTGCAAAGACATCGAGGTGAAAGCATACGAAGTTTCCCTCTTCCGACATGGTTCTTGGCGTCATCTCCAGCGAGGGGGACGTCATGCCTCCGTTCTCCTTCAAAATGGCCTGAGAGTCACCGCTGAGATCTACCAGGAGGTGCTGAGAAGCGTGGTGAATATCTGCGTCTTCCAGTAGGACTCCGCTCCTTCGCACAAGGCCAGGACGACCCAGGCATGGCTGTTCAACAATGTTCCTCACCACTGGTCGCCAGACATGTGGCCGCCCTCCTCACCCGACTGCAAACCCCTTGACTATTTCTTCTGGGACGTGATCGAGGCCTAGATCTACAAGCACGCCCAATACAGGGTCGACTCTCTGAAGGCAGCCATCGTGGAGGCGTTCGCCGATATGGACAAGCACATGGTCGCCAAAGCGTGTGATTCATTTCGTGTCCGGCTTGCGATACTCGTCGCCGACGGTAGCGGTTACATTGAAAAATAATGTGGTACGTAACTGTAACTGTTGCTAAATAAAACTGTCCGGTATCTGCATATACAACTTCTGTTTTTATTGGCTATTTCGTTTACTTTTTGTCAAGTGTCTGATTTTCCTGCAACACCTTGCATAATTGATAAAATTGCCATGGTTCATATTTAGATTTTTTTTTTCGAAGAATTTTTGGATGTTACTACACTCGTTTGAAAGTATTTCCATTTTGATGGGTCTTAATATAACTGATTTTAGTTAATTCCGCCGCTCCTTTGAAGATGAATATCATTTATAACGCTCACAGTGACCTTTTATATGTATGAAAAACCTAAGAAAAGCTTCTTCAATATAATCCTTCTTCTAACCTACTAAAGAATAAGTAATAAGGAATATCAAGGTTTTCATTTACCACGCAAATGAAAACATTAAATGCAAAATGTGATAATTACTTCAAAAATTGAATCTTTTATTCAGTCTTTGTTTTCCAGTCGGTATATGAAGTCAAATATGAAACTGTAATGCAAAATTGCATTTTATTTCTGTAACTATTATATCTACCAAAAACTAATTATATATAGAAACATTCTACTTGATTAAAAACATGATAAATTTCTTTGTCTTCAAATTTCGTGTTAAGACACTTCTCGAAAATCTTTGATTTTTTGCATACAATATTTTAAGCATGAAAAATTAAATTAATGTTTAATCATTTGTTTGGAAGTCGTCCTCATTTAATTATTTTTTTTCTTAGAATAAGTGACTCCAGGACATAGACAATCATGTTTCACTACTGATTCCGTTTCTCTATCATCTCTACTGTTTCTGGTACGTATCTAGAAATACTTGACATAATCTAACGACTAATCTGCAAAGTTCTCGGTCCTGATCTGGCATTTCCGCAATAATCACATTTTATCACCTAGCTTCCTTTTTTTTATTCTTTTCTGGCTTTTCTGCTACACATTTAGATATCCAAAGAAGAATCAGCAATGTTAGTGTCCCATATCTGGCATCTCGACCTCAATCGCATTCCTCCCGCCGTACCATAGCTTCCTAGTGTATTTTCTGTAAATGTTTTCATGGCAATCGTTCTGTTAATCTTTCCTCTTTTGTACATTGGCTTCATAATTTTAAGCGTAATCTACATTTAATTAACTGATGCTATGTATTTTCAAGGCATGGTCAATCATGGTTCTACACTGAATCCGTTTCTTCAATATCTCTGGTACATCTGCCATGCATCTAGAAATCCAGTCTGCAATATTATTGTTTCTTATCTGGCATCTCGGCGTCAATTGCATTCCCTCCGAAGTATATCTTCATAGTAATTGTTCTGATGTGCGTTGCTTCTTTTTACCATGTCATTATGAATTTCAGCCTAATTGGCAGTTTAGTTTCATCGTTTTACTGTTAAATTTGCTAGATATATCCGCAAGTTCATCTCTGAGAGCCTCTTCTGTTTCTCGTTTCCCTTTTGATAAGTCCCGGAAAGGAATATATTTGTTCGAAGTAGCAAAGTGGTTATGGACTTCTGTAACCGAGTAGGACAATCTAGCAGGTAACTTTAATGAACTCGTCCTCGTCGTAGTGGTAGGCAATAGGCGAAGACAACAGTCGTAGCCAATAGGCGTCGCCACTGTACCTCCACATCAGTCTGTATTTATGGCTGACACCAGCCAATAATATTACTGTGAAGGGGAACCCAGGTGTACGCATATTCATTACATCAGCTTTCAACTATGAACTTCATCAATGCAAGTAACACGTTAATCTACATCTTCCGTCTCTTCAAATCCTGTTCATTACTTAATGCAGTAACGGCAGTTAATAATTCCAGCCGAAATTGCTTGAATATTGATGTTTACTAAGCCCTCATGTTCATTATTATAGAAATAAATTACTTCAAGTATTTTATCGTTACTCTTCTGCGTAGTCAGTATACAAGTTGACTCACATGTCCCGTAGTTAGACGATCACATAAATAACCTGCTCAAACAAAGTAGCATCAAAACCAGTCTGGCACCTCCGCAAAAATGTCATCTGGTTTTGGGCACAAATATCGTTTGAGGAGCCCAGACAGCCGATAATCTAAAGGAAACAAGGTACGCATCCTGACCTAAAAGCATCCATCTCCACTGAGTTCCCGGCACAAATAAATATATATTTATATTTCACCTGTCTTCAAGTAAACTGTAACTCTATCCGAATATAAAAACTGCGTGAAGTTCTGATTTTTTATACCGTATGCTCAGATAACTGTAAGATACAGGAAAAACACACTGGACAAATTGAGGAAAACTTTCAATGGATTCGTGTAGAAGATTCTGAAAAGTACTCAGCCCGACCAAAAACGATCTTTTGAAAAATAGACGTTGGTACACAGATTTCATGATGTGTTAGCGTCACCGCTTATGACAACCAAGGTAAGAACATTTTCGCATCAGCAATGAAGGTTGCTCTTTTATTATTACTATTATTATTATTATTATTATTATTATTATAAATTGTTTAATTATATACAACACGCTGACAATTTTGGAAAAAAGACAAGATAATGATACTATTTTCATCCATGCATTGAGATCAACATGCTAACTAGATAGATAGATAGATATGAATAGAATGTGATAGAAATACAGTCAACGACGAAATTATCCGTACACCTATCAATTTTGAATATTTTATCCATTTCTGAGAAACTAATGTCTGTATGATGCCAGGTATTTTATGTTGGTAAAAAAAAAAGGGAAAAAGAAATATAAAACTCAGTTTTCAGAAAATGTTGTTCGATACAACCAATTTGACAAGCGAATTATGCAAAATTTGAAAATACAAAATTTTCCCTACAGCATGAAAAATAGAAAAGATTTAACAATTTTCACAATATTAATACTGAATATCACGGCGTCTCATCTTTAAAACTTCTTGCAACCGTTTTCTAAAGTTTTTGATGATATTTGAACAAGTCTTTTCTGGAATTTTCTTCCAATCTTCAATGGTTATATGTTTTAATTCCTGAATGCTATTTGGTGACCGCCAATTTATTCGAATTTTTGCCATAGATTTTCAATAGGATTCCAGTCAGGACTTATTGAAGGAAATGGTAAAAATGTTATCTTCTTTTTCTGAAGCTACGCAGTCACTCATTTAGATGTATATTTGAGATTTCCATTGTGTTGCTGGAAAGTAAATCACCGACCTAGATGAAGACTTGCCCTGAGAGAATAGATATTCATCCATAATTGTGATAATATCTGCAGATTTCATTATTCCTTTCATTGCAGTTAATGGTCCAGTCCCCCTTGAACTAAAACATCATCAAGCCGTATCCATGTTTTAATGATGCCTCTGTGAAAGCATTTATATATAGGAAAGAAAAGCATCGCATCTATTGCGCCAAATCTTCTGTATATCATTATATCCAAAAAGCTATTTTTTTTGTTTTTTCACTCCATAGTACTTGTTCCCAATAGCAACTTTCTTTGTCCAAGAACATTTTGACAAAATTTAACCGATCAACAATGTGACATGGTTTGTGAAGAGGGGTTCGTTGTGATCACTTTCCATACAAAACATTTCTATTTAAACAATGTTGCATTGTGCGAGTATTTACGCTGATACCCATCGTCTCCAAACTTTTGGCGACATGTTTCAAAACAACTCTTGAGTTGATATTAAATTCGCGACACAGTTTTCCTGTAGTTCTCGGTGACCATTTAGGTTATCTTCCACGACAGGCAAAGTGTTTAAACTTCTTTATAATGGATTGTATCGTTAATTTAGGGATAGCTAACCAGTTTAAAATATACTGAAAGTATTTCCAGATTGTGGAAGTTAATTATTCTCTGTCTCAAATCAATGTTAAGTCCCTAACCCTTCCCCATCGTGTTGTTAAGTTAAAAATGACAATGGTGACATTATCAACCACGGGATTTTCTATGCTGGAATTTATCACAAAACATCTACTGAAGTAAGAGTCTAGAAGGCTTCACAGATAAAATAGTTATGTTAATTAATTATATTTACACGAATCAATCAATTTAAAACGATATTTTCTTGTGCACGAATAATTTTGTCTTTTCCTATTTAGTATAATTCGCCGGTCAAATTTGTTGCATTTAACCTATTGTTCTGATAGTTGAGTTTTATATTTTTTGTGCTTATTAATCAAATAAAAAAACTGATATCAAATGGGCATTAACTTCTCAGAAATGAATACAAATAATCCAAACTAATGGGTGTACGAATACTTTCGTCGTTGACCCTATATAAAGTGAATACGATATATATATATATATATAGATAGAGAGAGAGAGAGATAGATCAGAACATAATCAGATGAACAGAATTTGATAGCTAACTGACTTGATAGATAGATATGAACAGAATAAGAGAGAGGAATAGAAACTGCGCGTGTTATATGATGACTGCTTTTTAGAACATGTATGTGGTTGTTCTATAAAATATTTTGAAATTAAAAGGACGCGTCCTTTTTTTTTTAAATTCAGGATCTTCCCCAGCAATGAAGATAAGGTAGCCA